CACCTTGTGGAAGGCTGAGGCGACATCTTCGATCGTACAAGAGGGTTCAACATGGGGACGGTCTCTACAGGTGACTTTGTTAAGGTGGCTCGCGCCTATTTCTAAACTCGTCTTCTGCGCAGGTTCTCGCGCATCCTACGTTCGAGAAAAGTGCATGCGGAGTTGGAGTAGCGAGCTTGTAGCGCACTCCAGTTTCGAAGGGTCCAGCTCGAGCATATGGCCTGAGTACGAAACTCTCGTACTCGAGTCTAGAGTGTGAGCTTTTTTCTTCTTCTTTTTCACTCCTTCACTTGGCTACTTTTTTTGAGGTGCATTTTTTACTTGTGGAAATTGTCACCTGTCAGAGAAGTTTTGGGATGTCCCTTCCAGCAGGCACTGCCCATGCCCATGGTCGGCTTCGGAAAAAGAGTAGAATGAAGGCGTTGGAGTCTATGTGGATGTCTTGGAAGGAATGGGGGACGGCACAGACGGGTACGTGAATGTGTAAAACCTGAGTATTTTGTATTTTCGTTGAATTGGTTCAAGTGACTTGGCGAGTCCCTTCCACAGTAGAACGCCATCCTTCACAAAATTTGTCTGACTATTTTGTCAAGAATGGCCGTTCTATAATGATCAATCGACTCTGAAGCCAGTGGATTGTGGAGGTCGCCCTTGCATATAAATTGAAATGGTCACGAACGAACGAAAGTATTTTTGATTCGAACATGTACTGGACAACGTGGTTGCATTGTGTCAGTAGAGGGTACTACTGTAGTATCTCACCATTTCTTTATGGTAATCGCTGTCCACCAAGAACTCTCCTATAGTTATTGCCACGGCTTGATCACAGCGGTACACTGAGTTTTTGTTGAGAAATTCCTTCAATTTATTGTCTTATCACTCAGTGCTCGAGCGTTTTATTTAGGATGCATTTTTTAGAGATTGATATTTACCAGTATGTGTTTCACATCACTCCTGACGAGAATAAGCAATTGAAAGCAACACTGGCTGACAGCAATCATGCTCCCCAGGCTCTAGTGTGTGTGTGTGTGTGTGTGTTACAAGGGTGTGCATGGCAATTTGGTAGAGTATGTGTGAACACAAAGTCCACTATATTCACAAACTCAAGTACATCGCAAAATTGTGCCTTCGTATAGTATATGGTGCCTTCATAACTTTGACTAGCCCTAACCTGCTGTTTGACAGGTGTGTCATTAGTGAATGTACATGTATACTGTCTCTCTTCACAACTACGTGCATGTAACACAATATTTACAGTGCACTTGCAGTGTATATAGCTAGATCAATGTACAGTAATCAGTAAATTGTGGCTGCCTCTGTCACATTGTCATATTCACGCGACGTACATTCTAAATCATCGAAAATGCCCAAACCTATTTCTACGTGTGCAGAAGAAGATTGAACACATTCTTTCCTTGCATCTGCGCCTTGATCCTTGAAGGATGACGGTGTTCCTACGGATGCGGAAAACTCGGCCTCTAGCCGAGTCTGACGCGAACCGTGAATTTTTCCCTTGACATTGGTTGATGGCATCAGTCACATCTAAGAGTGACACTCTATCTCAAACATATTTACGCAAAGAAGTAGTAATCTTATCTTCATTGGAGCGATGGTCTGCAGGCGTGCGATCATGTGTGGGCCTTGTGTGTGTGCGTGTGTGTGTTTAGTCACTGTTTACGCGCACGTTTGTGAATGTGCGTGTGTGTGTGTGTGTGTGTGTCTGGCCTGGTATGGGGTTGCTCAGGATAGTTCTGCATGGTGGGTGGACGGTACTGTCTTATCTGCCATCGGTCGTTTTGCCAGCCAGGTGACAAACAAGGCACAAATGTGGCGCAGAGCGAAGTCTCCCCATCCAGGATCAGCGTGGTGCTGTGCAGTGTGGTACATGCAGAAGGTGGTTTCACTCTCGTGGTGGCTTGCGTGTGCATCATTGTTTGCCCCTGGAACCATCGAAAGTGTCCGCGCCGGCATCATCTATTCCGCTCAGCTTCCAAGCTTCTCTCTTGTGTTTGACATGCAATCGGCAATTCAAGTCAGCGCCTGGTTTCAGACGTCACACGTGCGACCGTGGCCATCGGGCAACCAAGTCTGACAGAGCGTCATAATGGTGTCCACTGTTCTCGCTGCAGCTGTCAGTTCCGTCGACAGAGTGACCTGAGTCGTCATCTCCGTTTCTGCTCCTGACAATGACTCTGGCTTCTTTCGGAATGGTGTGGCCCGTGGGCAACCATGCTACAGTGGCAGTAGTAGTAGTAGTTGTGTGTGTGTGTGTGTGTGTGTGTGTGTGTGTGTGTCTGAATAGTGGCGGTCAATTCTTCAGTCTTGCAAGCTGTTGAATGGTGCAATCCCAGCACAAGCTGCTATGGCTTCTGCTGTAGCATTGCTATCATCACCTCCGGCGATGGGCGTCCAATGGTGTGTGTCTGGAGCGCCATGGGGTGGCGTGCTCTTTCTCTCTCTCTCTGCTGCCCCTCCGGGGCCTACGTGACCCTAGTGGTAGTGGCTCGACAGGACAGGTGTGTGTGTGTGTGTGTGTTTGCACGCATGTGTGTGTGCACGTGTATGTGTGTGTGTGTGTGTGTGTGTGTGTGTGTGTGTGTGTGTGTATGGTATGTGGGTGGTATGTGTATGGTATGTGTGTGTGTGTACACGTGTGTCAATGTGTATTGCAGGGTTGGGTGGGCTAGTAGAGAAGGGTAGATGTGTGCGTGCGTGTGTGTGTGTGTGTGTGTGTGTATGTATGTATGTGTACACATGTGTCAATGTGTATTGCAGGGTGGGGGTGGGGGCTAGTAGAGAAGAGTAGATGTATATGGACATGTACATGAGATATGTAGGTGTGCATGTACATGCACCAAAGCAAACTTATCAAAAAGGCATTCTGCGCCTATATGGCGAAATTGAGCATTGAGGCATATGTTTTTTATTTTCTCATTGGCATGTACACATTTAGTCCATTCAATAACCAAAAAATGAGGAAGATTGTAAATCAGGTTCTTGATGAAATACCCGTCCGCTATACATCACAAATCCTGTACAAATTTGACAATTTAGTGAAATTGTCATCGCCTATATCTCAAAAGTTAGCATTGAGACCCCGTTTTTTTAACTCGCCATTTGCATACACTACCTAAGAGCAACCACCCACCAAATTTTCAGAGCAATCGTTAATTTTTTTGAAATAGGCGTGAGCCACCTTAATGGTACGCCAAAGCTTCTTGGTGTTTCCTGCGTTTGCTGTACATTGTCCCTGGAAGTAAGTGTTTCGCTTCTGTCGGTATGCATTTCTACCTTCCGCACGGGCGCGCTTGAATGCAGTGTGGAGCGCAGCGTTTGCTTTGTCTCCCCGCCACCGCCTATGCAGCCGATTCTTGCGCTGGGTGAGCTGGAAGAGGTGCCGATCCGACCAGGGCGGTAGCTGCTTCCGCTTGGCAGTAGAACACTGGAGAGGAGCATGCTTGTCGAGGATCGCCAAGAGTTTGTAGTGCCAAATTGACCACATGTCGTCAACTGTAGTGTTCGGGGGCCAGGTATCAAGGTGTGCTGCATGAAGGTCGTCTCGGAAATCAGGTATGTGGATTCTACGTACGTTGCGGAATCGCTTCCTCGAGTCACATGCTTGTCTGGGCACTTGAACGTGCAGGCCCAAGAGGACCTGAACGGCATCATGGTCGCTGAGGGTAGACGGCACTACGGCGCAACTCCGGGCATCATCGCAACTTGTGAGGATCAAATCGATGATCTTGCCATTGGGGCACTGGGGTGTGGTCCTAGTGGCAGTTGTGACCAGGTTTCTGAGGCCATACGATGCTACCAAATCTGAGAAGCGCTGATAGTGCGAGGATGTTGTGCCGGCTCCGACATCGACATTGAAGTCTCCAAGCACAGTCATAGATGGTGTCAACAATGCTGCTTTATGAAGCGCTCCATCAAGTCTTTCCCAATAGGTGACTGTTGAGTCGGGCGGGCGGTACATGCAGCCTATGAGATGCTGGCGACCACGTCTGTTTACCGAAGTCCAGGTGCCTTCAAGGCCGTCTACGTGGAGATCAGGACGGGTAGACACAGGGAGCGTTGATTTGTAGAAAATGCATACTCCTCCTCCCTGGCGGCCATAGCGGTCGCAGCGGACAACACAGTAACTAGGAATATGGATCTGATTATCAGACATGTAATGGTGCTGTTCAACCACGTCTCGCAAAGGCCAAATACATCCCACATATGCAGGTTAATAAGGTCTTCTAGCTCTGCAACCTTGTGTCGAAGACTGCAGATGTTTAAGCAACCGACCCGAATCTCACCCAGTAGACGCGATAATAGGGAGAATTTGAGATTGAGATAGGACATAATAATAGTAAAAGCAGTGCACCCTACGAAGATGGAGATTAGGCTGGTGTGTTGGCTGCGATGGAGAGATCATAACCTGTCTGTGGCCCACTCCCACTTGCTGCGCCGCAAGTGGTCGTTGACATTCTTCTTGAAGGTGTGCATACCTCTGCGAGAAGGGGGAGACTGCAGAAGGGTAGGTGGGAGCTGATTCCACGTTGCGATGAGGGAGTGGGGAAATGAGCGGAGCGTGTTGTTTCGTGACTG